GTATTTTACAGGTGACAATTTTCTCAAATACTTGATAACAATAGATGCATCCCAAGTATGTACATATCGAGATTTTGATGGTCTCAAATTAAAAACACCCTTCATAAATCGTATAACAAGTGGATGACATCCAACAGTAAACCCATCAAAAATCAGTCCAACAGAAGATAAAGCCCCTCGGGCAGTATTAATAGCACTATACCCTAAACCTAGGCGAAAAAGATGTGCTAAAAATTCAATAACAGTTTCTATAGTTGTACAAAATGGATCAATCGATTTTTCACTACAGTACTGAAACCATCTCGTATAAAATGTTTTATATTGTTTCTTGGTTCCCGACTTCCATGATGCCAAAAGGATCGAGGCTGCTTGATGAGAAATTCCTCGTTTTTGGTACTGCAACCGGACAATCGACATGCCATCAGCACTAACGAGTCTTTCAGAGGATGCTGCACATCTGTGCCTGGAAGTGTCAACAGATTGTCCATCACAGGTAAAATCACCGGATGATCCACCAGTTTTTCTAACACACGATTGAACCACGGCTGTGTTGGCCACACTGGAGCCACCAGTACACACTCTGCTTGGTCCTGACAAATCTTCCTCACCACACGTCCAATGAGGCTGAAAGGAGGATTAAGATAACCATAAATGTTTGCCCATGAAAAACTAAATGCATTAACATAACGGGCATCTGGATCTGGATGCCAAGAACAATATACATCAATCTGCTTATTCAACCTTGTTGCAAACAAATCAATTTCAGGTTGTTCCCATCTTAAAACAATTTTATGGAACACAGATTTGCTCAACATCCATTCTATTTGATCATCAAATTTGCGCGACATCATATCTGCTATCAAATTATCTTTACCAGGAATGTGCCATGCACTTAACCACAGATCCCTATTCATACTCCATAGCCAAATTTCTTTTGCAAGTTTATCACATTTTTTAGAACTAATACCACCCATGTTATTGATGTAGGAAATAGCTGTGGTATTGTCCATAAATAATTTGACATTTTTATTTGTTACATCAGAACAAAAGCACTTTAACCCCAAAAAGCAGGCTAATAATTCTAAGTAATTGATATGATTTTCAGATTCATCTGTTGTCCATCTACCCCCTGATTTCAATTCATTCATAACAGCACCCCATCCAAGATGAGAAGCATCAGAAGTTATTGTAAGATCATAGGGTTCATGCAAAATTCTTCTAACTGATGAAGAAATATTAGAAATCCACCAATCTAATTCTAATTTCATTTCTTTTGTTATGATCATGAAAGCATCATAGTCATGTTGTGATTGTACAAGTGCATCAGTTTTTGCTCTTTCCATATCACGATAAAACAGCTGACCAAATTCTACTGCTGAAAAACTAGCCACGACCAATCCAATGACCTTTGCAACTTCTCTAATTTTTTCTCTTGATTTTGTTTGTAATTTTTTACATGCCTCTAAAATAGATTCCTTTCTTTCTTCAGTAAGAGAAACTATCATCAATTCAGAATCAATAACATTTCCTAAGAAAATGATTTTTGTACTAGGTGTGAGAACAGACTTCTCATAATTGACTACAAACCCTAGACTCTCTACTAGGGCTAAAGTTTCAGAAACATGATCTAAACACTCTTTAATACAATTGCCAATCAGTAACGAGTCATCAATATACCCAATAATGACATGTCCTAATCTTCTAAGTGTTGCAAAAACAGGCTTCAGTAGTTTTGTAAAGAGTCTAGGTGCACTAGCTAACCCTTGAGCGAGACAAGTATACTGATAAATCTTATTTTTCCATATGAATCTAAGAAACTTTCTATGTTCCTCTGCCACACTGACACTATAGTATGCATTGCTAAAGTCAACACTAGCAAAATAACAACCTTGAGTCACTAAATCAAGAGCACTCTCAAAAGTATCCATTTTAAAATGGTGATACACAATGTTTTTGTTAAATTCTTTCAGGTTCAAAATGACTCTATAACTGCCATTCTTTTTAGGTCTAGTGAAAACAGTGGAAATGAAACCATCACTAAGGTCTACATTTTCAGACAATTCTTCAATTACATTCATATCTAATAAAGATTCAATTTCTTTGTCAATCACACATGATTCAGCTGAACTAAAACGTGGCTCAAAAGGTTTTGAATTTTGTACAGGAATTTTATCATCTTTAAATTCCAAATGACAACCTTTCACAATATCTAATATACTTTTATCTGATGTTAACTCTTTCCATTCAGAAATGAAATTTTTTAGTACACCTGCTCTAAATTCACATACCTTTTCAACTACTTCTGGAGGCGACTCTGCAAGCCTCTTCGTTGGTAGTTTTTTGAATCAGATGAGAAGGATGCAGCATTCGAGTAGGATCCACGACCCCTTGCAGCTCCTCGGACAAAGCGTCCACGTGATCGTCCCCTCATAAAGCGACCACGGAAGCTCCCTCTATATCCGATACCAATTTTGTTGCTGATTTTGGAACAATCTGTGATGTCTTTTACAGTTTTAAGGACATCGTCACCAAACAAATAGTCTGTATACTTTAAATTATGACTACAAAGGTGAGTATATTCACCCTTCATATCAGGTTTCATAAATTCTCTACGCAACATACACAACTGTCTGTTGGCATGCCCCAGCAATGCCAATGATTCCATAGCATTTCCCAAAAGGTCTAAAATCTCGGGATTGTCACACTTACCGAGCAAATAAGTCATTTTAGTGAGTGCACAAGCACCCTTGATCAACGAAGTCTGAACATTTTGCATCTTCTTATCGGAAGATTTTGTAGTTGGGCTCAAAAAATCCCAAACCATTTGGTTAGTTTTCACAGTCACTAATGCTGAACAGTTTTCAGGACGATTTGTCGTTTTCAGAAGTTCATTATATCGTTCTTCCTCGATTCCCTCTCGGAACCAATCTGTCACGAGATTAGCTAGTTCATCATCAATCGGTTTATCACAAGTCTCTTTAACTTTAAGTTTCTTACCGGCATTGACGTACTTGTTTTCCGTATCAGTCAGAATCTCGTTTAATGCGCGCTTCCTCGAAGCCGCTTCACCGGAAGTACCCGGTTCGTCCGGGGTATCGTCTTGACGATCTTCATATTCTTGGTAATCATAATCATACAGATTTTCTAGCTCTGTCATACGATCGTCTTGTTTCTTTTGATTCTCTTGAATCGCTTTTAATATGTTGAGAATCTCATTCTCGTTATTTGGCGCGGAACTATCATGTCCTCCGCCATGACCACGAGAACATGTGGAAGTGCCAGTCGAAGTCGACGAACTCGACGACGAACGCAAGTTAGACGGTGTCTTCTCCGAAGACGATGATTTGTTCGGGGCTTTTTTCTTTCCCTTGACCGGTGCTTTATCATCGTCAGGGTTAGGAACGTCCGCCATGACGCACGTGGTTTGAACTTTCAAAACCGATGAAAAAATATCTGACCACGTCAGACAAAATCGCCCCCGAAAACTGATCTGACCACGTCAGAAAAGATAATGAACTCTGAAAAAGTTCTAAGAGTATATTGACCTCGTCAATATGTAAAAATATATCAAAAATGATCGAGCAAGTAAGACCACGTCTACTCGCTCCGGCTACTTGCAGTTCAATGACTTGGCGGCTGCGCAGTACTATTCACATTATCTCGGAAGTGACGTTTACGAAAAATAATCGTGAATATATCTAAACAATTAAATGCTTTCTTTGGTTAACGATGTTAATACGGGAACTAATGTTGCAGCTGTTGCAGAAAAAAATGCATAACCCGTACTGACAAAGAAAGAAAGATATTTTATTGTTTATATTTATACATGTATCTGTACAAATAATCATCTAAACAAGGATTAAGTAGATTAAATAATGTATTATTGATATTTACGTCATTGTACGTTTCATTGATGGAACAGCCACTATACTGTACATGTGATATGCTTAGCGGTGTTTACTGACTGATGGTTTTCATAAGAAATATAGGGGATAATATTCAGTGGCTGAAAATGTAAATTGACTATAACTGAATGACACACAAAATCAGTCGATGCTTAAAATTAAATTCAAATGTATAAAATTTTATTAACTTTCGAAATTAACTTTATGGACACAGAATTTTATTCCTTGAGTTGAAAAAGCATATTGGACAAGAGTACCGAATCTAAAAATATTCAGAATTATTGCAATTAAGCATGACAACCATATTTTTTTTATCTTTGTCAAATCTGGCAAAACCATCATTCTATCATATTTTAATGTTTCCAATATATTAAAAAAACAATTGCATTTCAATAGGCCTATAGATCTTTCTGTTTCTTTATTGAAATATCTTAGTTGTTTTGTGTGATAACAGATAACGATATCAATTTTGTGCGACACCGACACTTGCGTTATCTTAAACCTTTAGGAATGAAAAATTGATTTAACCGATTATCTGGAATACTGTGATCGAGTGTATTTTGTTCTGTGAATGTAGTTTTTTTTACTTCCGTATTGGTATATTTTGTTTCATGATGTTTCGAATTTTCATGTATATATTTTCTATATTCATCACTGCTTCAGGTAGGAAAATTTCTCCTTAGTACCAATAAGCAAAACCAATATGAATGATCTACTTTTAAAATTCCATATTTTAAATACTTATAAAATTCATTGTGAGCTTCACCATCATGAGATGTAATTATTTCTCATTTGTCTCACCAGTTTGTCTAATAAACCCGGTGTAAGTGTGCTTATTTTAGTTTTCTATCATATTCAAACAGAAAGTAGTACTACATTATCTGGTGCAGAAATTATCTACTTGGTAAAGATTATATTTCAGTGGCTATCAATATTAGTTATAATATCTATGACAATACAATCGATCTGTATTTTGTGCTAAAAGTATCATAAATTTCCTTCAATATAGATAATGATAAGAATCTTTTCGACTAGGAAAATTAAAATGATAGTTTACTTACTCCATGTTCCTTGCTACATAATACGTAAGTTTCAATGTTCTATTTCTCTTTGATAGATGCTATACTTTGTTACCAATGCTCAGACGCCAAAGCAGAAGGAACATGTAGGCATGACAACAGTGGACTCCTGTCAGATAACCAGGGTATTCAAAACAGGACCAATATCACGGACACAGAGTTCAATACAGAGTTTACATATCTGAAGAACTGTACAAAGAGCTGGGGAGAGCAATGTCTGATTGAAAATATACGGGAAGCAGGTAACATATTGAAAAGAACAGTTCTACCAGCAGTTTGATCGACTTGTCAACCATCTTCTGTCTGTGCTGATATTTACTGAGGTTCTTCTATAAATTTCAGGAACATTTGTTGTCTTCATGTCTGTCTTTGATAAGATTGAGAAATGGTCAATGGCTTAATCATTTATTTATATTCAATATCTTTAAAGGTTGGTTGATTTAGATTGACAAAATAAAAGTTATACAATATTCCTGAACTTCTTTCCAAATTTCAGGAAGTGGAAAAGTGATGTCTTTCATTAGAGGATGTACAAATGGAAAAGTGTTCTCCCTCAATGATTTCCCTAATAGAACAATAGTGTCAGATAATCAGACGACATGTGCCTACAGACCGGAGAGTGGAAAAGTTGTCGTCTGCTTGACAATTTGTAAAACAGATCTATGTAATGGCCCACAGCCTCCATTACACGATGGAGCATCTTCAAATCACTTTTGTTCTTTACTGGCGATACTGATGCTACTACTTGTGAATAAGGTGAATTGTTTCAGTGAATCTTAAGGACTCGTTTCACAGGAATGTCCCTTCTTCTTAGAGTCTCATTTTTTTTTCCTTTTGAACTACAATGATTTCTCATGAATATCTGTTATTATTTAGAAAACTAATTATTTAGAAAACAAATATACAGTAACCATGTTAGAATTTTGTTGAAATATCAGTATGATAAGTGAATTTACAATTGCATGGTAAATGCTGCACAGTTAGTTTCATCAGACTATAAAAAGAGATTGAAGAATCTATATTGAATGACTATAACGAACTTCTTAACATTTGAGAAACAATTTTGAATGTGTATTATAAAGTTCTAGACATATTCATGTAAATGCAGATATTCATTTCATTCTTAACCTTCTATATGTATGAATAGGAAATGAATGTCAATATTTTTTAGCAATACTTTTTTGTTTCTCAGTCTTTGTATAACTGTAATTCCTGATCTAAACTTCGTGTGTAGAACTCTGTCCTTACCTATTTGAAATTACTTTTTAAAAAGCAGGCCCGTAGAACGCAGGGGGGGGGGGGCTTTTTCTGAATATAGTATTTTTCCTTTAGATGCTGGTTCGCCCCCCACTTTTTGATATTGTAAGATCGAGTACTGCATGGCAAATTCCAGTATTTGGATAGTAAATTAGCTTTTGTTTTGCTTTTCAGATAATTTTGGGAAGTTGCCAACCCCCCAACCCCCACCCACTTTTGGTCAGTTTAGGTTTTTTTTAATTTTTTTTTTTTTTTTTTTTTTTTTTTTTTTTTTGCTTGGGGAAGTTGGCCCCTCCCAACTTTGAAACCGTTGCCACGGGTCTGAAAAAGTACTTGCGTTACTTCTAAGACTAATGTATATAGAATAGCAATGTAATATATTTTTCTTCCATGACTTGGGTTGATCAGTCGAAAATCTTAGAAGTGATATACAGAACAGATACCTGTCATTTTAATAAGTGTTTGATAATTTTCTCAATATCGTACCGGGTTTCTGTATTAATAAAATAATTATAATAAACTGACAAAATGTCTGACACACTCAAGCTTTAGTTGTTAATTGAAAAATTAAAAACCATGAAGACTAGACATTGACAATGATTAATTATTGATTCATGATCAGTATGTAAGCAGCGTATGATTTTTAGACCACACACTGAATACAGAATTAAGTCAAAATTAAGATGCGAAATAGCTTGATTTTTAACAAACATGAATGAAAAAAGTTGCATGTTATAATATGCACAAGCTTAATGAAAGTTTTGTTTTATTTTTAAAATGATTGACTTAAGTCTATTATCTGTTTTCTTGAGACATGAAAAACAGCCAAAAAATGTAACCTGAAGGTAAGGTTAACATTTTTTTTTGTCTTCATGTTCAAAATGAATATGCTGTTCTTCTTAAACTATGTAATTGTTATGATATACCCTTCACTTGCATGCGTATATTTAATTACAGTACTATTGCAGTGAACAAATATTAACCCTTACTTTATTAAACGACCATTTACAGTTTATTATAGAAAAATGCTGGGTATAAACAGATTAAACATTTTTTTATGTTTACGTCGCCCTACCACTCGGCTACCGTGACTGGTCATATGGCAAAGAGGTGAAGTCATGATTGAGAAGTTATTGAAAGTTGAGAGGACTACCTAAGTTTTTGGAACTTGTGTCCAATCCCTTTGACATATTGTCAATAAAATATGTTCAGAGCAAAAGAAAAGTTATTCTATAATGTAAGCAAAAACTTTAGACTACATGTATTATGCAATTTTCATTCCTACCAACTCCTTACTTGAAATACCTCAACTGTTTCGCTTTAGCAGATAAGGCTATCGGTTTTTATCTGAAATAGGTCCCCTGTATCTCGTTCTTAGATGGTTTATTTTATTGATTTTATTTTATCTGAAATCACTATAATGGGAGATAACAGTATTGTGAAAATGTTTTAGTTTCGTTTTTGAAGGGTTATGTGATATGATGTTTGTGTTCTTTCTTTTATTTTCCGCTAACATCTATACTTCAGGTACGACAATGTTTCCTTTGAATAGTGTTTGATCAATTGAGCAACTAAATTAAATACTACATTGCTTTCTAAGAACAGATATTTGCATAGACCGCATTTACCATGTTAAAGAAATTTCGGTTTTAAGGAACCTTCAGGAAACCCATACTAGACTCTTTAACTATGTTTCTTATAGGGATGTAAAGAATTCTTACTATAAGGAAGCAAAATTCGAAGTTTACGTGATTTTCTTATAAAACTTAGTACCACAGGCTAGTAACTGGTAAATTGTAGTGGCTATAGAGCCGTTATCAAAACAATGTATCGGTATTCTATTTTTACATGTATCTCACTTCAACCGAAAGTACAAGTACATGTAAATCTTGATTGACTTGATGGCATCTTAAAATGAAATTAAAAAAGAAAAATATTTAGCTCACAATAATTCTTTTTGGTAATATATTCTTGTTAATGAATACGTATTTCGGACACATGTATAAAGTCTACACTCATTTACAGGGGCAATACTTTGTTATTGGTGCTCGGATTTAAATGCTGAAGGATACTGTAAAAATGACATAGAGGTGCTCACAATCAATAATTCTTGGAGATATCCGAATCTTTTTAAGAGTTGTGCAAAGCACGATTGGGGAGACCAGTGCTCAATTGAAACAGTTCGTGAAGCAGGTATTAATTTAATAGAATTATTTTGTATGCTATACCTTCTTGAACTTGAACTTGAACTTTATTCTCATAACTGACAAAACAGTGAAGAGAAGATATGTACAGTATAATAAACAGAAAATATTACATGCCTGAAGAAGGGGTAACAGAGTATGTCAACCAAGAGCGCCAACTCTCTCAATTATAATATCTAACAATTTACAAATTTTGCTAAGTTGATTAGTATTGGTTACATTAAAGAGCATTTCAAATTTCAAAACATTTGGATTCAAATGAAAATACTTTGACAAATACATAACTCTTGAGTTCTTTATAGACACATCAGTACATTTAAATAAATAATGAAATTCATCCCCAATTTCGTTGCTGTTACATAATTTACAAATTCTATTTTCTCTAGGGATATTAAACCATCTACCAGTCTCAATTGGTAATTTTGTATTCCCAGTTCTAAATAAACATTATTTCTTGGATTGTTTAGGAGGCAAATTCAACAAATAGTCTTCAAAGATTAATGATTTTTTAAAAATTCTATAGTTCAAACCTTTAGGGGAAGTTTGTACATCACTAAACCATGTTTGCTTAAACTGACCTAAGAGAGTGGTATATACCTTATTTTTTAGCCAAGATATATTAATTGAATTTTCATACCACACATAAGTCAATCCACATTCATTTAAAATTTTCTGAACAAAATCACACCATGGATTCTTACATATTTTCAATGCACATAAAAGTTTTGCAGACAATTTAGAGCTCTGAGCATTAATAAGTTTACCCCAAAATGAGATCATTCTAACTTTGATATCAATTAATAAAGGGTGTCTACCAAGTTCTCCGTACACCATAAAGTTTGGTGTTGATGTTTTCAAGCTTAGAAAATGTTTACAAAATTTTAGGTGTAATTCCTCCATTAGTTTAGTATTGTGAAAACCCCACATTTCACATCCATATAGAAGTAATGGTTTGATAATTTTATCAAACATGTCTAATTTACAATCCATTGATAAGTTATGTTTTCTACATCTACCAATAACACTATACATTGCTTTAGTAGCTTTGTCATATAATTCTTTGGTATTTAAATTGAAAGAATTACTTTTACAAAATGTAACACCTAAATATTTAAAGTTGTCAACTATATCAAGCTTGGAGCCTTCAAATGTAAAAGAGCTATTATTTTTACCTCTACCAAATATTACAACTTTTGTTTTCTAACTATTAACCTTAAGGTGCCATTTCTTGCAATATTTAGAAAATGTATTTAGCATGTACTGAAAATCATCTGCGTTTTCTGATAACAAAATAGTATCATCTGCATATAATAAAACAAAAAGCTGTAAGTAGAGATTTAGTTCTCTCTCGAGTTTTTCTGACAAACAAGGTAAACCCTTAGCTTTGTTTCCAGATAAAAATTCCTCAAGGTAATTCAAGTACAATGAAAATAAAAATGGTGACAAATTCTCCCCTTGCCGAACTCCTATACTACATTCAAACATTTCTGAACTTATTCCATTAACTACTACTTTTGATTTAATACCTTTATACATGTTGGTTATAATCTTAAAGCATTTTCCATCAATATTATTTTGTAAAACTTTATTCCATAGTCCGACATGCCAAACCGAATCAAATGCTTTCTCAAAATCTATAAATGCACAGTACAATTTCATTTTATGTCTTCTAAAAAGTTCTACAAGAGAATATAATGAAAAAATATGACCTATTGTACCCATACCTCTACGAAAGCCTGCTTGATTTTCTAAAATGAGTTGTACATTATCAGCATATGAGTTTAATCTTTCATTAATAATTGCAGTAAATAATTTTCCTAGACAACTCAGCAGTGTGATAGGTCTATAATTCTTAGGATCAGTATTGTCCCCTTTATTTTTGTATACTGGGATTATGTTTCCACAAGCCCACTGAGTGGGTATTACACCAGAGTCAAAAATTTTGTTGAACAATTCAGTGTATAAATTCAGCATGCAATCACATGAATTTTTAATATATTCATTAAAGATTCTATCATCACCACAAGCCTTGTTATTTTTCAACATATTAATACTGTTGCGCACTTCATCATGTGTTATTTGTTGGTTAATTTCATGATTGAGCTGAACATCAGCTAAAATATCAAGCTCTTCTTGTGTTAATACTGTGGGCTCTGACTCTTGTTCATTAAAATTTTCGTTACAGCATTCTTTATAATATGTAAAAAGGTCGTTCAAATCAGCATTACATCCTTGCTTATTGCAGTTTGTGTTCAGGATTTTCCAGTATTCTTTGGGGGTTTTTGTTCTTAAATTAGTGAGTTTCTTTTTCATTTCTACTCTATGTTTAATGTTAGTATTTTTTAATTTATTCTTATATATTTTTTCTTTTTCATACAAGTCAGCTTTAAAAATTTCCCCTCCAAATTTTTTATACAGCCTTTTTGCTTTCCTAAAGTTTTGTCGAGCATTTTTCCAATCTTTTGTGAACCAAGGTTTCTTATATTTAAAATTTGTTTTCTTACATGTATTTGTATAAAATGTTTTCTTGCCAAAGGTCTCTTTAGCACTTGATACCAATATGTCACTTATTCTTTCGACAACGTTATCTATAAAATCTGATGTGACTTTTCCTGCTATAGTGTTCCTGATTTCATGTTCTAATAGTGTGATAGCATTTATTTTGTCTTTTACAAAGTTATGAAATGTTTCTTGCTTCTCAGGAATCCAATTTTTAGCAATCTCTTGTATTTGTTTTTGTGGGTTATTTAATTTCGAAGCGTGTTCTTTTTCAAAGGCTAGTAAAACCTCCACAGGATTATGAACATCAAATAAAAATATTACAATGTTTGCAAATATCAATAAGTTTTTCCCATACTGGTTTACAATCATATCTCTTGAATTTCTTAACATTGAAAAACCATATTTTTCAAGACATCTTATATCTATTTGATCAACAGCCCAATTAAAATCAGTATCAGACACACGATCATGGGTTTGAACAAAAGGTTCATCACAATCATTAAATTCTTTCAGATTTGAGACTCTACTGTTAAAGTCAACAAGTAAGCAAATACATTTATTCTCTGTAGATAGATTAAAAATTTCATTTTCAATATCTTCAAATATTTCACTAGATGAAAATCTGGAGTTTACAGGTGGTATATAGACTGTACCTATTAATAAATGGTCATCGATTCCAAATGTTTTACCTTCTAATCGGACCCAAAGTACATTGTCACATTCATTATTAATAATATTACAGGTTTTAGCAATTGAATTTCTAATATACACAACTATTCCACCAGATTTCCGAAATGACAAATTTGTTCTATGCTTACAAAATGCACTAAAATTAGGAATGTCGATTATGTCAGCTTTATCTGTTCTTGTTTCTGTAAGGCACACTATATCATATTTATATACAGTCCATTGTGGTCTCAATCAAAATATAATTATATAGACATTATTTATTTTTTGTAATTGCAGCAAGGTATGAGCTTAATAATGTCCTGTGGGTGTACCTCATTTATACTTCTCAATATAGATAATTTTATAATTTACTTTTCAAGAGCTAGAATAAACTAGTAAATTATTCTTAAGTGTGAATATATATATATGTATATGTATTTAGTATTATGATATTTACGGAAGCTCGGTGAGGCCAGTTCAGAGAAAGAAACATTGTGTTTAATCGCAATAATCATTGCAAAAGATTGCGTTTAATCGCAATGCATATTGCGTTTAAACGCAAAACACTTTGCGTTTAATCGCAAACGAATCTTTTGCGTTTAAACGCAATAACTTTGCGATTAAACGTAATAGTTTATGCGTTTAAACGCAATAATATTTTTGCGATTAAACGCAATAATATTGCGATTAAACGAAATAATTTTGCAATTAATCGCAATAATTTTTGCGTTTAAACGCAATACTTTCGCGTTTAATAATCTTTGCGTCCAAAGGCAATAATCTTTGTGTTTAAAGGCAGTCATTTGTATCAAACCTTGCAGAATACATTAAACCCACGCATACTTATAGCTTTTATTTCTTTCTCTTTTCACTTATTAGGAAATTTTGTATTGTCTAGCTTTATAGAATCAGATTTCTCCGAGCAAACGCTCTCTAAAAGGATAAATCACTAATAAGAATTTATAGAGGAGAAAAAAAATGTCGGGTTGTAAAAACAAAGGCAACCTAAAAACGAGACATGTCTTAAGCTTATTATTCTCTACATTCTTAATGAAGTTTTGGTCAGTTGCTCTGTTAAAAAAAAACTGTCCCCTACGTTGCGGTCACAAGTTTAACCCATGTATAAAGGGATTTTTGGAAAGGACTGAGGAAATGTTGGAATTACGTACAACATGATGAAGTATTTAGACTTAAATGTACATTCATAACCCTTCCTATGGTTGCATACAGTAAACACAAATTGTGATATACGTAAGCAATTGATCAGAGACTTCATTAAGAGTTTTGAATTTTAATACATTTAAGACATTCAGGTTGTTAGGATGCCATTGTTTTACTACAATTTTCAAAAACTGGAAAATTTTGCAAAAAGACACAGAACAAATCGGATCTTCTTAAAGTTGAAGTGTCGGATCCTAGTACATGTACATGTAATTATGAGCTTTGACTAATTCATGATTTTGAAACTACAGTATCATTGTGTTTAAATGCAAAACAAATCCCTATAAGGAAGGATTATTGCGTTTAAACGCAAAGATTATTGCGTTTAATCACAATGCTATTGCACTTAATCGCAAATACTTTTAAAAGTATTGCGTTTAATCGCAAAAATTATTGCGTTTAAATGCAAAAAATATTGCGTTTAAAAGCAAAAATATTATTACGTTTAAACGCAAAACGTATTGCGTTTAATCGCAAAAGTATTGCGTTTAAGCGCAAAAGATTGCGTTTAAACGCAAAGTGTTTTGCGTTTAAACGCAATATACATTGCGATTAATCGCAATCTTTTGCGTTTAAACGCAATGATAATTGCGATTAAACGCAATGTTTTGCGCTTAAACACAATAATTGTTGCGTTTAAACGCAATAAAAAATATTTCTTTCTCTGAACTGGCCTCAACGGGCTTCCGTAGATATTTTATTGCATTATAATAAAATAACATTACTGCTACAAAAATCTTCCATAAAGGAACTGGTCTTTAAAAAAAATCATTGTAATTCATAAACCATTTCAATTATGACTCTGATATAACCACCAAGCATACTGATTCAGTATATTCTGAATGGAGTTAAACCTTTTACCATATTCATAGAGTTGTATCTATGTTTTTAAACAAGTACTATATGATTCGATGAATCATGTAATGAATTATTGTAAACATTATTGAATACGCAGTTACCACTAATCATTAAACGATGAGTGTTTATGTTTGATGTACATGCAAGTGGATATAATCATAATTAACAATAAATTATCTTTAAAACTTGAAAAATCTTGAAATATACTATATGTAATTGTTTTTGTATGGTAATTTCAGGGAGTGGAAAAATAAAATCATTCTTTAGAGGCTGTACAGATGGGAAAGTGTTCTCTTTTGGTGATTTTCCAGAAAGAACAGTTGTTCCAGACAACCAGACGACTTGTGCTTATAGACCAGGAGATGGGAAAGTTGTCGTCTGCTTGACGGTCTGTAAGAGTAGATTTTGCAATGGGCCTCAACACATTGATCCAAAATATGATGTTTTACACAATGGAGCCTCCATCAATCTTATCTGTTACCTGTTGAACATAATGATGTTTTTTGTTAACATAGTGCATAATTGTCAGTAAAAACGAATTTTCGGAAGAATCACGATTTCATAGGGATGTATCATGTATCTAAAAACATCGGCAATTACTCTGAAGTCTAAATTCCTCTGCTAATCAGAATATTGTATTCGATTGATTGATTGAAGTATGTTGTTTTACGTCCCATTCGAGAATTATTCACTCATATAGAGCTGTCACCATGTACCGGTGAAGAGCTTCAAATTTGACCTTTACTCGGCACTCAGGGCCATTGAGCAGTGAGGGATCTTTATCGTGCCAACGTCTGCCGTGACACTGGCCCTCGGTTTTTAAGGTCTCATCGGAAGGACCCGCAACTTTCACTTCAAAGTGCCGAGCGCATGGCGAAGGAACAGTTGTTACCCATTTTTGTTTATCAACTTAGGTCAGTCGCGGCCGAGAATCGAACTCACGACCTCCCGATCACGAAGCGAGCGCTCTACCAACTGAGCTACCCTAAACGGTGAATATTGTATTCGAACTAACAGTATATTTGATGCTAATATTAATAATCTTATGTCAAATCCGAATCGATATGTAAATTTGAAAATTTGGAACTGACAATACATAGAAAAATATCTCTGAAACATAAATTTGAGCTCTTTTTCTTAATAAAAATTTTATAATTGCTATATAAAACTTCGACCATGCATTAATGTGACCTACGGTGAAAATGATAAGATAAAAATTGCATATAACTACTACGGAGATACTTGAATTTCTGTTTATGTACATGTACTTTAATGTCCTCTGTCATGAAGACAAGCATTCTTAGAGCATTGCATAAGCTAAACTAGTCCCTTATCGACAAGTGTATTCTGGTTCTCCTAAAAAATTAAAATGGCTGTAACTCTGTCAAAAATCATTAAAGCGGTGCAACATGCAAACGATCTGTAACTCATCAAGGTACACAAACCAAAAATCATGCTGTTAATATCTACAAACATGTTTTAAAAAGTACGGAAAACCAAGTGGGACAGGCTGAAAAACAGAGTGAAAACGAACTGACAGACTAGGAGGAAATTCATAGTCCCCTCCGTTTTCACCAGTAGGGGAGTAAAAGGGATTCTTTTCTGTTGATTCTTATAAAGGCTGGAAATACGAGGAGTGTTCCAAAAATAATTTCATTTCACCTTCTTCGCGTGAAAATCGTGTAAATATCTTAGTTACTGAAACCACATTGACACTGATCAATGAACCGCGTAGCTGAAGAAAATTTCATGTTCACAATTTCACTGACTTAGCTACAGTATACATTGCTTCATAGCCGTATTCATTACACTATACTCAAAATGACTGGAAAAAGAGCAAACAATGCACTTGAAATTAGGGCCTGTATAAAACGTAGGTCCTTACTTTTCATTAAACCCGTAGATATTCATCGTGAGGTATGTGATATCTATGGGAATGCTCAAATGTCTCATAAGGTCTGTCTGTAGGTGGGTTGCTGAATTTAAAACAGGTTACGAACTCCTCAAAGATGCTGCTCGCCAAGGTCGCCCTGTAACAGTTACAACCAATAATAACATCGTAAAAAACCACTTAATCTTACAGAAAGACGCAAGCTATACTGTAAGGCAATACGTTCTATTTCCACTATGGAAGAGTCATACTTCTTAGTGCGCTCTTTTGTGAAAAAGTCGGAAAATGTACAAATCTCGCGGGATTCCTGGGACAAACGTAACATAATCATGTAAGCAATATGTTGAATGTCGATGAACAGTTCGTAAGAAAATGCAAATGAAATATTTTATTGTTGTGGACTTTATATACATCAAGAGTAGGAATGACAACGATATCAAGTCAAAATCTATTGTTGATCGTAGTATGTATCTATTTATCGTATGGTATATCTAAATACAATACACATGCCTTTGAAATGTCGTATTTTTTTTATTAATGGATGATAAATTTAGGGTTCTCGCTCTCTTACATATGTCTTTTAGTTCTTCTATTCTTTAATTGGAATGACAAATACATTTAACATTTAAAATTGGATTGAGATTGGCATGTTTTGTATTATCCGCCACCCCATGCTGTCCCAGTCAGACGACCAAACGCGCCTCTAATTTTGAAGAGTTCAGTAATGGAAATAAAACGTATTGGCTCAGATGATACATGTAAACATGTCATTAGCACGTGTTCATGGTATTTTGAAAAAAAAATCTAAAGCTTAGAAAGATAAACGCTAGGTGGATACCTCATTTACTTAGCGATGAACAAAAGAGAGTATGCGTTGAAAATACAAAGAAATTATTTAATTGTAACCAAAATATACCAAAAAGACTTTTGATAATTTAGTTACTGGTGATGAAACCTTGGTATACTATTTTGATCCAAAACGCAAAAGTTCTAACGGAATCTGGGCATCAAAGAATGCAAAACGTTAAATGTATTGCTAAAAGATTACGAACCGTGAAGAAGGTTTTATATGTTATTTTCTTTGACAATAAAGGCCCTGTCATGCAAATTCCTGTGCCAAATGGCAAAACAGTAACAGATAACTTCTACAAAAAGATTTTTATTTAAAAAACTGAAGAAATATTACTAAAGTCGTCACCCCGAAACGAGTGTGAAGTATCTCCGACTTACGCACGACAATTTGCGCCTGCACACAAATCAAAACACGCATTGTGACCGAGTACTAGTATTTGGAGGCGGAAGAGGTTACTGTCTTACCACACCCCCGTTTTTCTCCAGATTTAGCCCCGTGCGATTTCTTTCTGCATGTTCCCCAAACTTAAATTCCACCTATCTGGAAAGATACAAATCACGAAATGCCCTTGGATCTGCTATTTATCAGTATATGATTGGTGTCCCTATTGAGGAGTATGAAAAATGTTTCCAGAATGATCGTCTAAAAGAGTGTATCCAGGCCAAGGGTGAGTACTTTGGAGGGTAGGGACGAATAAACGAATCAAAGATGAATAAATGTGGGTGAAAAGAGCCAAGTATCTTTATTTTTGAAACATCCCTCGTAACTCGGATTCCCTACTCGGATCGAACACTTGCCACATGGGCCATTATTTGACAAATCTACACTATACATAAGACGCTTATATACTTAGTAATGTTCCATTTCGTTTCATTTCATTTTTGTTGTTGATATATATTCCAATTTAAAACTTTAAACTTGAGTGGAGTACCCATTCTATCTCCCGGTCATGAAATGAAGAAATTCGAATTTATAATGCATAATAATAAAATAATATGGATGTAATGTCGTTTTTTATGAGAACATTTTTCAAAGATATTTAGTCACTATTGTGGCTTAACCCTAGGTATGTTATCTCGACTCCTTGACGCTCTGCTCTTCTTGAAATGAAATTTGATAAAGAGTCGTTTCTATATATTCATGTGGAAAACATGGACTTTGTTGTGGATCCACCATAGCCTACGTGGCCATCAATCGAATTAGCCAAGACTTCCTACTATCTCATTTATAGACAACATTTCACAAACTCTATGCTCGTTTTAATAATACAACCTATTGTTGGGTCGTATTTTGACAAACATGTTTACCACCAATTGTAAGGTCATTGCTTTTATACCAATTATGACTACGGATTACTCCGTGTACCTGCCAATACAGAGGGTTAACGATGGGTGTCGACAGGGTATGCTTACTCCTCCTGGGCACCTGATCCCACCTCTGGTGTTTCCAGGGGTCCTTGTTTGTGTCCTCCTCACGATTGGTATTCTTAAATACCCAATACAGATCGGTTCATAAAGGACTACAATAAGTGTCCATCGAAATTCCAACAAATTATTGGAAGCCCTGGTCTCCAAAGATTACATACGATATTATTAATGAGGAACTCCAACATTTTACAATATCAACTTTAGAGTACTTGTGTGTATAAACAGAATAGTTTTTAAGAAATTTAGTTAATTTTTAGATGACCAATCCTTTTTCATTGAAGAAGCAGTTGTCTGTCATGCAAAAAATATCTTGGTCTTTAATCTGTCGTAGGGAATGGCTACACGTATATAAACCATTGAAAAATCATGCGTTCCGAGGTTACTGATTTGGAGGAGATTTTGTGATTTTAATTTTTTCTTTTTCATAGAGTTTTTGGTCGCCCGCGTGGCGCAGTGGTTAGAGCGTCTGCTCTAAAGTCGCAAAGTAAGGAGTCGATCCTTACGTCGCGGGTTCGAATCCCACTGTGGGACGTGGAGACCGGTCCTTCGGATGAGACGGTATAAACCGAGGTCCAGTGTCGCAGTTGGTGCTGGCACGAAAAAGATCCCTCACTGCTCAATGGCCGTAAGTGCCGAGTATGGGACAAAATTTACAGCTTTCCACCGGCAAGTGGTGGCGTTAAACAACATACAATCAATCAATCATAGAGTTTTTGAGAATCCGCTTTTGATTTACAGCACTTCTTGAATATGTATAGCACAGTAGTCTCTCCTTCACAGAATATAGCATTTTAATGAGAATTATAGTAGGGACTTTGTTAAACATTTATATACTGGACCCTGCGATATACATATTTGTTTGCAAGAATTGTTTTGGAATTTTTGGAAATTCATTATAGGTGCAATCTATCAAACTCATTTACATTTTGGTAATACTAAAAGTATTAAAAACTGAACATGGATTGAAGAAATTAATCCTAAAAAATTCGAAAGAAAAATGTCAGAACCAGTTGTGAATTTAAACCAAATTCTTGAAAATTAACTCTTAACGGAGAGCCTATGTCGTATGACGTCATAGTTAAGCGAACAAAATTAATGCAAGACTCTCTCAGCTAATGAAAATACACAACTGTAATAATGTGAATGACATGCTATTATTTTGAAGGAATGCAGAGTTGCTAAGTAAGCTTCAGTTGACTATTATATAGTACATTTTGATGATATGTGTCTGAGTAATAGATCTATCAAAGATTGTGTTTAATGCTTGCAATAGTAATATCTGTTATGAGATGATATACATGTGTATATTCATTTTCCTAATTATTAATTATCAATATGAATTTTGAATAGTTTGTGTATAATAATAATATTTTGCTAAAATATTATTTTTTTATAAATAGAAGTTTATATTTTTTATAAATATTCACAATCTGAAAGTAACACCATAATATTCATTTAATCATTAAACCCTGTATAAGTGCAAAAAGGTTAACATGAGTAGTACAAAAAATCTCTTTCATTAGTTTGCGGGGAAAGGTATATATTTTATTAATTTTTCGTAAATCCTTTGAAAATATTGAGCGTGTTTGCCTATATTTGTTGAAATGAGGATTTAATATTTTATGTTAATTATAAAAAAGTAATTTTTAATAATATTTCTTACTATTGTTCAGTTAATGAAATCTATAAACCAAGATGTTTGAAGGAGTATTTTTGTGATTTTCTATATTCTCCTTATAACCATGTACCCCTAAAATGGCTGAAAATTTTAGTCACAGTGTATATAATTATCATTCTAAATTGCACCAGCTGCACTACATTTAATAACAAGGAAACATGCCATTTACTTTTAATTGATTAATAAGTGAGTGCCAATTACTCATATTGAAAAGTTTGAAAATCCTGTGACAAAGACTTTTCCGAAATAGGTTCTACCTTAAGATAAAGATTATATTGCTACACGCTTTGTCAAGTGGAACTATAACATATTTTTCATGTTGTCTAATTCCTTTGTCTATTCCAATTTACTAAAAAAGGAAGTTAAGATGGTTTTGTGCTTTAATTGTCTGATGCGAACTTTTAATATACTTTTAAATTTCTTACTCCGCTCTGTTGAAGTCTTTCCTTTCATATTCAGCGCATCATCTAGCATATTCCTCGACGGAATTCATAATAGAAATAAAGTTTGTCACTATTTGCAAGATAGAGTTTCCTAGAATTTCGGACTGCTTAAAACAATTGCTTTCATGTGGTGTCCAGCTGGACTATAATTGAAAGAAGAGGAGGAACAACAACACTTTTAAGAGAACATACATGAATATTAAGAACTTTTTTCAGAATCGTTCTCTTCATTACTGTATCCATTCTTAAGTTGCTATTTTAGATTAAAGAAAGTAAGAGTTTCACGTTTCTTAAAGCTTTGTCTAGAGTTATAAGAAGCAATTAAAGAAAATCTGAAGGTGTCCTTTTGTGTCTATTAACACTGTAAACATTAGACAAGTGAAGAGCAAACAACCAAATGGCTTTCTATGGGCCAACAGGTTTTAAAAATATTTTCCATTGACTAAGAGACTAGGGGACATAAATGATTGGTAAGTCTTTCAAATTTTGATACGCTATACAAAACATAAATTTATTTCTGTAAAAATATTATTTTTGTTCCATATTTTGTTCTTTTTTAAATGTAACTTGCTGTTATTGAAAATATACTTTAAGAATGACATATTTGACATGTAAATAGAAGATCAGACAATGTCAATATTTAAATGCCAGAGTGAATGTTCTTGATTTTAGTGATTTAGTTGAATCACATTTTTGGGATTGTTTCGCTCGATCAAACATATATACATGTATTTTAATCTCTGTATAATGTACTTTTAACGGTATGTATTTACCTATGAAGAGCTTTTTTTTTTTTTTTTCAAAACTAAGTAATTAAGAGGATTGATTTTTGTCTTATTTTCAAAACTTAAACGGAGAAGAATTTTCTTAATTATAAAAATATTTTCGATAAAGAAAGTTAAGCTGACAGATTCTAGTTATTTGTTCTCATAGCAAGTTTGAGGCAATTTTAGGCTAGGAACATAAAATATATCTGAAATTCAAAACTTTTCAACTCAGCAGATCCAGTAAAGATGACTTGCAAAATAATGCATGTACAATGACTTGCTTTTCAAAAGAAACTTGAAAAGCATATCAAATAAGTGTCTTGATCATTTAGAACGTTGACAAATGGCAATATTATATGATGACTGTTGTCATGAATTAAACGCAATATAGCTCCAACCACTTATAGCTTTCTTAATCTTGTTCTCGTCTCCTTTCATTAAACCATTTGTGAGGAGGTATTATCAGGATTTAAAACATTATATAATGTTTTGACGATTAACAGATTTTTTAATTCTGGTTGTTAGGTGGTTATACCCAGTCGGAATAATATCGGTAAATGAACTGAAATTTAATATATTTAGGTGGGAAAAAATAAGTAATGTAAGGTATCAAAATTAAGAAAGAAAGACTTTGATAAAAAAGAGAAAAAAGAGAGATGATTTATACTGGAGGAGAATATCAAGAAGTACTTTTTTGAATCTATCAATTTGTAAATCTGTGGACAAATAGTGACGAGAAAAAATCAAAGTAGAACAGGTGCGCGTTTATCATACTGAAAAGAACCTTTAATTGAAAAGGATATAATTTTAGTTTGAAACTACGCCGTAGAGAAAATAGAGTCAACTGACAACTAAACAGCGACACTGAAAATAAGTTAATGCTTTTACACTGTAGAACATCAAGTGTTAAAAATACTCTAAACACGTTCAACATACATCCATTATGTTACAAATTAATCCCCGTGCTATAATACAACTTTCAAACAGTAAAGTAATGAACATCTGATTTAAACTACGAGATTAATCTTTTCTGATTTATATCCGATCAGTACAAGTCTTGAATTCTCTTTCTTCTATTGAACAAATTGTGACCGCCGGTGTATTAGAGGCTAGCATTGTGTGGTGGTTAACATTAATGACCAGGATTTGTGTTTTATTTAATTTAAGGATACACATGTTTCTATCTAATTTGGATATTACGCCATATTTCTGACTAAAGCTCTGTCTTTAAAAACAAAACTGCTTGTCTAAATAAAAGGTTGTGTGGATTTTTTTGTTATATGGAGTAATCAAGACGAATTCATATATCTACTGAGGTAAGAAGAAAATATTTACCGTTAACGAGATCAATTAATTAAAAATGAAAAATAAAAACCGTATTGGGGTAGAGAGGATGGCTTGGGAAAAGAAAAGAATTTCATAGGCAATGCGGAAGATTTATCTTCTAACATCACCATTCAAACATTCATTTGATAAACAGGCGATGATATGGTTAATTGACAGAATAATCGGTGTTCGTGTTCCAGACAATAGGCGCTCTGTGAGCCTTTACAAGTGTTAAATGCTGTCTTCGGGGGGTGGGCGATTCTGGTCGATATTGTTCCTCATGTGTATTGGCCATCTCCCGATCTCGAACATTATGGGAACTTCTTACCAACAATCTATTTTTTGTCAATTCATTACTATACACTTGAAAGAAGTCTGTATTTGTTTATTAAGGGTCTATTTTTCTATATTAAACTTGGGCAGCTGTACATTTATTCAGATCATTCAGTACATATTTCTAAAACTCTTGAAACGCAAATATATTGAACTCATCTAAAACTTTAAAATGGAACTCAAAAGAAGATACAGACCGGCATATGAAAGCATATTTAAAAGTGAAAGCAGTAAATGACGTGAGAAGGAAATAATAATTAAATGGGAGATCTTAACTGTATTGTACGCCATGATTATAGGTAATACTCAGAACTTCGCCATGTGAGAGTGGAAAATGGCCACGCCACCATCGGCGGCATCTCAAGCCTGGACAGAGGAAACTCAAGTTAAGGAGGAGGAAAAGAAACCGTTTGTGCGCATAGTAAGAAGAGTTTTGTTTGTTTTACTTTTGTATGTTTTAATCAAAGCCTTTATCCCAACTGTGGGGCAATTGACAGACAAAAATTTACATTTTTAGATCCAAAATTTGAACGGCTAATGATTCTTATTTTAAAATCATCATTTATAAAGCTCAGAAAAAATTGATTAAGATCGTGAATGGATGCAATTATACAGGTAATATAATATGGTCGCAAATTTAAAATACATGTATATCTAATAAAACGGCAAAACCATTATTAAATTAAATTTCCGTTTATGTAGCGATTCTCATACACGTGTGCTCTAATTTATGTAATCATGATTATCCCCTAGCTAGGAACAGTTACTCTTGAAATTATCGTCTTCTTCAATAATACTCCTGATCTGTGATATCTTGCTTGATGTTAAATGCTAGAACAACGTATTATGTTGGAACTGAAGTTAGCAGAACCATTATACCACATAAATATATATTTAAAAAAAAACAAAAACATGCAGTTTTTTAAGAAGCCTGGATACCTATTTTTTTTTATTCTGGAATACATTTTTTTTTTAATTAATTTTCAACTAAAATTGCACAATTAATATTTTTATCCACACTTCCTTATAAAACATCTGAGATTTTGTAATATTCCTTACATAAAATGATTAAGTTTAATGATGAACTTTGAGGAACATTGCAGGGATTATCCATGCAATTTTTTTCAAAGTTCATCATTAAACTTCGACAAAATATTTCTACTAATTCAATGTTTTTCATCCCTAAGGTTATGAAAATCAGCAGTTAAGTAATTAAAAAATGCTCGCTAAATTTCACAGAATTCACAAAGTAATGTGTTTCTATACTGGATAGAAACATTACTTTGTGAATTTTGTGAAATTTCAGTGAACATTAAAAATTTGTTTATTGATACATGAAATTGTTATAGTAATATTTAACAGTTTACATAATTAGAAACCCTTTAAAAAAATCCTTTGACTCTTTTTTTCAATTGCATTTAAATGTCAGTGTGAATGTGACGTGCTACCTTTCTCATTAAATGCTTAATCTACTTTGAGTAGTTACCTCATCAGGTTCTTAGTATGTAATAGACTTTTACAACCAAAAAGGTTTTTTTGCTTCAATTATTTTTAATAATAAATACTAGTTAATATAACTACTTCATATAAAAATCTTGAACGTTTATATTTATCAATATACAGATAGAAAAGGCAACGGGACAAAAGGTGAAGGATTTGACCAAACCACCAAAGAATAGCGTGCCGTACACCAGTACAGCAGCCAGGTCCAAAAAAGTGATAAAAATGCAGAACAGGTATGCCAGAGCAAGGCCGGTACCAAAGGGCGCAAAAGTTCCTGGTATTGACGATGAAGCAACTCAGGTGCCATTTTTTCTGCCGTCAGAAAAGCCGGCAGGTAATATTTTTCTTTTTTCTTTCTTTTTTTTTGATTAGTGAAGAAATTGAGCTAATAAGTACAGAATTGTAAAATAGTAAATTTACCTTTATGGTAATACGTCACATCGTAGAAATGGTTCATGAATTGGCTTTGCAGTGTTATAATCAGATATTTTCGTCAAAGATCCATTTTCAACCCATTTTTTTCTGTTGTGCATTTTTAGTTTAATAGAGCAGAGTTTTACCCATTTCCGACTTAATTTCAGCTTCATTTTTTGCAACACTGGATTCAAGTAACAGAAAAACAATGTCCGAGTACAGTCGAACGCTAGAAAGAAGCGCTGACCGTAAACCAAATCTGCGTCGCCAACACGCTTTTATTAGGGTGAAAAGTAAACCTAAAGATGTTCTCCAAGAAAATGAAATATTTGAGAGCGATAAACAAAAACAGAAGCAAAAAACTACAGCTCATATAGGTTCCAACATCATAGGCGATATGTTACCTGTATATGATACATTCAACGATGACTTTGAGGATGATCTACGAAATAATAATTATGATCCTAGTGATTTATTAACAAAACGAAATGTGTTACTGAGAAAATCTCAGTCGATGATGGCTTTGGAAAAGCCATTGATAAAACGTTCAGTTTCGAGTGGAACTTCATTTCGGGAATCTCCACTCACTTCAAAACTTGAGAGATCCGGTTCCGGTTTTAATTCATTGTTCACTTATAATTCCTCTAGTGCCCCTAGGAGAAGAAAGGCGTGCAACACAGAGTCCATAACTGAAGTTCAGTCCGCTCGTTCACCAGAAAAATTTCCAATTTATGAGAAAAGGGAAATTGAACAAAGTCTGGATGAGATCGATTTACTCTTGCCAGGAGTATGTATTTCTTCACCGAGGCGACCGTCAACTGTGCGGCCATCAACAAACATGAAACCTACTCGAACACCAACATACTGCAGCTGTTGCAGTTTGTGTGACACCCCGAAATCACAGTTCGAAAGCCCAACGCCTTTTGAGCTAGATCATCCTGACTTGTTTTTACAAACACGTTCCAGGAGACCCCATCACTGCGCCTATTGTCAAGCCGACGATGGAAAGAAGCTAGTGCAATATGCTCATGGTGATGTCATTAAAACCTTCGATTGGCTGAGTAAAAACGCAAAGGAGACACCTTTGTAAGAGTTTGCCGTGTTAAATGTGAATGTGAAAAATATGAGTTACTTTTCATTGTTAAAATTCATCGGCGGGCAACTGAAATTTGACATATTGTTAAACACAAATAAAACAAATATTGATTTAATTTTAAAGAAAATATTGTGGAATCATAATACTTTATAAGAGTTCAAATTGTATGGATACCCTTCTTTATGAATTTGCATCCTTAAACAAATAGGCCCTTTAATTTGATCGTGTAGCTAAAGCACATATTTCAAAACGAGGTCTGCATTTGAAATAGCATTCAATGAATTTGTTAATTTTTGAAATTCACAAAAAATTGTAAACATAAATTTAAATTATTCCACTGTAATCTCATTTTAGCAATCGGGTTTAAAACACTCTATTTTTAAAGGTAGGTTGGTAAAATATTATTTCGAGATTCCAAACCACGTTAATCATTCTACGAAGATGTTTTAGAAAAATGCGAGTCACATGCACCTATAAACTGCTATTATCAGAAAATGAATCACTATAAGGATTGTATGCAACAGTGGACGACAACTGGTGCTAATTTCTTCTGCTAGTTTATCAATCTCAAAAATTGGACCATTACAGAAACTGGTGTTGCACCACGAGACACAAGCAAGGAGATGATCCTGCGATTGTGGATAGTAGGTACAGCTTGTCTGATTATCGGTGGTAAAATTTAGAAATCCTTTCACAGATATGTCGTTTTGCCCTTTAGAACATCCTCGAATGAAGGAAAATGTTTCACCTACAATAAATATTTAAAAATACTTAGATTTGTAAAAAAAAAAAAAATCACTTACAGAATGACTGTTTTCAATTCTGAGCTGTTTGAAGGCATTTTTGCAGACACTGACTGTGGGAGATTCAGTGGAAGTGTGTGTTTCATTTGTTATAATACTCACCATGTAATCTTTAAATTTTCATACGGACAATACAATAAAAAATCTTTATGAATACAACTGCGATTGCAAAATGCTATTCCCTTAACTCGCCTTCTTTTCTGTTTTGTTTTCACTCACCTGTCACTGCAAAAGAGCAAAAATGTATCTCAATATATACATTTATATATTCAAAGTTGTAAATTATTTGACTTTTACAAACAATAATGATAGTTTAATCATTTTAAGACTTTTAGTGATAAGCATTTCGCTTTCTTGAAAATGCCATAAATATAAGTATCGTATTATTCTTATCATATCTGTGGTCACATGTATTTCTGTATGAATCTGAAAACCATTTTTTAATTATTTTTTCTATTATTTAACATACCTCTTTCTTGGTAACTTTCGATGACACAGTAGTCTCCCCAGGTAGATGTACAGTTCTTGAGGTAACCTCTGTCCTTCTTCCCGCCAATAGTTTCGTTGGCTTCCAGATAAGTCATTACAGACTTCTTGAACAGGTCATAATTATACTGGCAGTCTCCGAAAGCCTTGGAATCGGCACATTGGTAGCAAATTATAGCTTCTACAATATACGTAGTTATACATACAGAACTGGTGGTCTGCTAGATCAATTACAAAGTTATAATTTTTCCTCAAATATGAATGTAAGAAACAAAGACTATAATATCCTTCACATAACTATAAAAATGATACATATCTTGACCTATAACACTCATAAACTGATATAACATAATGAATATAAAAATTATGGTACCTTAAAGAGAGCTGAGAAGATGGATTTCCAAGTTAAATATTTAATCAAAATATAATAAACGACGAATAATTATAATAATGTAAAAATACAATTATATAATGAACAAGTATCAGGATATTATGCTAAAATATCAACATATAATGTTAAGGAATTGGTATATACATAATAAGAGCATATCTGCACGTAATGTCATAGTGCCAGCATAAAAATTAAAATGAAGAAATGTCAGCTCATACATGTAAGGGCACATGAAGAAGTAGCATCACAACATGTTATCCATGTAGAACACTTGAGGCGTTCCGTTAAGATTTGTGTTTCAAAGGATTTTATAGCCATCAAGGTAGCTCAGTCGGTAGAGTGCTCGATCGGTCGTGTGTTCGAATCACGGCCGCGACTGACCTAAGTCTTTCAAAAATAGGTAGCAAATCTTCCTTCGCCAAGCGCTCGGAACTTTGAAGTGAAGGTTGTGGGTCCTATGGATGAGATTTTAAAAACCGAGACACCGTGTCGTGGTAGGCGTTGGCACGATGAAGAACCCACATTGCTCAATGGCCCAGAGTCGCGAGTAAAAGTCTAAATTTGAAGCCCTTCACCTGTATATGGTGAAGTCTCTATATGAGTGAAGAATTCTTGAACGGGGCGTAAAACATACAACCAATCAATTAAAGGATTTTATGAATATTCAATTTTGTAGACGAAAGGTCAGCATATGTAGAAAACGAGTGACTCAAGGAAACAACCTTTAGGTTTTATCTGTTTTTCGATCAGTAGAAGATTTTTAAAAGAGGTTCCCTTTAAAAAAAAAAAATTCACCGCGTATTTTGACCCCACCCTGGCCCCAAGGATGTATGAACTCCCTAGTAAAAACTACTTATGTAAACTAAAGTTGACTATAGTATCAATTTTTACGCTAGTAAATCAAAGTTTAAATTCTTGTAAATCAAAGTACTCCGACTATTGTTTAATTTTATTTTCATCATTTCTTACATCCTATTTTCTTGTATGAAAAGGAAATATTACATGAAGGCCTACTTGTATATTCATATATCATTTCCAAAAATGTACATCATTGGTGTGTTAATCAAAGATATTAAGGCTTTTAATATCAAAAACAGTCTAACAATAGAGTAAATCAAAGTATCAAATTAAAGTATTTTCTATAGTTAATTATAGTTCAGTATAATCAACTATTATATTTTTGTTAGTGTTAACTGAAATCCGTACATTATTGGAATGCTTCCATATCAATATGACTAACATAAACTTACTTTTTGAGGAGATATTAAAAAAAAAACTTTCCTGTATACATGCATATTGTAAAATGTTACCCCCGATTTTAGACCCATCTCTACCCGAAGGTCACAATTTGAAGGGAAAAAAACATAGATATGTTTATTTATGTGAGATACTTACTATACCCCTTCTTGAAAAGCTTAGGGTATATTGTGATGAGGGTTTGTCCGTCTAGCTGTCTGTCAAGTGTCCGTCCGTCCGTCTGTTTTGCTTTGGGGTACCCATCTTTTATCCACAACTCCTCTTATACCGCTGAATAAAATTTAATCAGACATTCACAGATTTCACAGATTTCATTCACAGACTGTTTTATATAGCGCCATTGTGCACCTCCTGTTTTACTTTTTAAACGGACATATATTTCGAATTTCCCATAGCAAAACATAGACACTGCAATGCTTTCTATAATATTGGGGGGGGGGTACCCATCTCTTATCCGTAACAACTCCTATACCATGAACTAAATAAAATTTAATGCTGGTTTCACAGAATCTTTATTATATAGTGCCATTGTGCACCTCCTTCTTTATGTTTTTTTCTGGACTAGTATGGGAGCAAGGGTATCATTTGGTGAGATCAGTGTTCGCCGTACCTCTAGTATGATTAAGTGTTACATTGCTTTTCACGTAAGGATTTTTAAGAAAAAAATTCCACACGTATTCTCATGAAAATCTTTGAATTCTTATCTAAGTCCCCTCTCCCCTCTCCCCCCATTCCAAGGGCCCATGATTTGGAAAAAAAAGTGTGAATCTACATTACATTACATGATGTAAATATAGCTAATAATGAGGACCTTAAATCAATAATTTTACAGGAAACCCCGATCATTTAACTGGCGTCATAATTTCATAAATATTATGGATTCTGCGGAAGATTACGTCAGGCGATGGGCCAGACATGAAAAAGAAGGCCTTGATTGTCAGAATGGATTAAATGTATCAGATGTAAGTTAAAGTCTCGCATTTATCGAATGAGGGGCAAAATGAAAACCAACCATCCTTCTGTGCTCAATAATTCAGAAGTAAAAAAAAGTATTAAATAGATTACACGATCAGTATGTACTGGTCCCTGCTGACAAAGCAGGTAACAATATTCTCTTGGTTTGTAAGGCTCATTATTCAAATTGTATTTTAGAGGAACTGGTATTTAATTCTACAAGTGGTAATCCAACTTATATCCATAGCTCCCTTTCTAAGGAGGAAATTCTTCAAAATCATATGTCAGTTTTGAATATTTTTAATATTCCCAACAACTAACATGAATTTGAATTACCATATCTATATTGGATTCCGAAACTTCATAAAAATCCTTACAAACAAAGATACATAGCGGGTTCCAGTAAATGTTCTACCAAGCCTCTTTCTTTACTCCTCACTAAAATATTAACAGTAGTGAAGAATAAAGTTTCAGGAGTACTTTGCAACAATATATTCGAGAAGTGGTGTAAATCAGATTTGGATACTTAAAAATTCCAAGGAACTTTTGAAAAATTTGAAATAACAAAATTTTACCAAAGTCAACAACATAAAAACGTACGACTTTTCAACTTTATATACAACCATCCCTCATGATAAATTAAAGTCCAGGCTTTTTGATATCATTAACAGCTGCTTTTTCAATAAAAATTTTCTTACCTTTAATAACTTTGACATTGATCGTTTGCAAAATCATTTTGTTAAAAACATTCTGATTGTACACACAAGCACACTGAAGTTGATATTAAAAAGATGCTTGAGTTTCTGATTGACAATATCTATGTGGTTTTGGGAGACCAGTTCTTTCAACAATCTATTGGAATTCCCATGGATACCAACTGTGTCCCGTTATTAGCAGACCTATTTACGTATTCATATGAAGCAGAATTTTTTTCAAAATCTTATACGTGAAAGGAAGAAAACACTTGTTGTGGCCTTCAACTCGACATTTAGATATATCGACGACGTATTGTCAATTAACAATGGTTATTTCTATTCTTATGTCGATACGATATATCCCGGTGAGCTTGAAATAAAAGATGCCATAGAGTCTGATACATCTGTTTCATATTTGGATATTTTACAAGAAAAAAACGTTAATGGTAATCTAACAACAAAACTTTATGATAAATTTGATGATTTTTCAACCGTCAACTTTCCTTACTTATGCAGAAATATACCTTTATCACCTGGATATGGGGTTTATATCTCTTAGTTGATTTGATACGCAAGAACATGCTCTACGTATGACTAGTTTCTAAAACCAAGTTGGGTTACTGACAAACAAGTTTATGAAACAATGATATCAGCAGTGGTCGAAACAATGACCTTGTCAGCAAATACAATCTGTTATTAAGTCAAATGTATATCTGCATCTGCTCTTAATAATGGCTTTGTTTTAAACACACAATGTTTAGAGCATGTACATATATATCAATGTCTCACCTGAGCATCCTAGGAATAATAGTAATAACAATAGAAATAGAAGATATAATCCACTGAAACCTACAGCTGTTGTCATATTCTTACATTGAATACTTCCGGGAAACGGTACTCCGTGTATGGCCATATGACTGTTATCTTTTTTTATTTGTTATCTACAGTCCTGCGAGCAAGAAACGATAACAAAATAAATATTGATTTCCAGTGCAGTTTAGGATTGTGCTGATAAAGTGTTAAGCATGAAACCATACCCTTTTGGTAGAATTCAAAGAAGATTCACCTGGTATGATTTCAGAACGTACTTTCTGATATATATGCAAAAAAATTTCATATTGAAAAGATTCCTGATTGATTATAAAACAGATATGACCAGTAACAGTATTGACACATGAAAAAAATATTTTGTCGTTTAATGACGTTTAATACTTTTATATAAAAAAAGAAAAGGTAGCAAATCGAAAATCGAACAATCTGTGAGTTTATAAGCTCTTTCTCTTCCATTTTTCTTTTTTCTCAATATATCCATTATTAAAAGGAAGGACAACTCTTTGAACAGAAATTTAAACAGCCCGAAGATTGTATGATGTCGATGAACAATTTTTTTCTTTTTTTTCTACCAAAAATTTTAAATCAAAAAATTCTTTTCCAAAGAATATCACCATTACCTTAAACGGTCTGAAAATTTAAAAAAAAAAGAAGAAGTGCGTCAATAAAAAAGTTAAACGATTCCAATATCCCCTGCAGAGTTGTCCTTCATACCTTTCGCAGACACCTCTGTAATGGGCTCAAGTCAAGATTTTTTTACCTCTGCTATATTTATAAATCAATTAATAACCCAAAGGCTAGAGAAAAAGTATTAGAAATAATGGAAGGATATGGTTATGTAGATCCCTTTAGACAACTCCATGAAACACTTCGAAGGTACACATGGAGAAGAAAAATCCTTTTAAACAAAGTAGGCTAGACTTCTTTATAATGTCTGAGTCATTGTTACCTTGTCTTAATGCATGAACAGTCGAACCAAGTTACAGGTCCGATCATTCTATGATATCAATGACTTTAACTTTCAATGATTTTAAAACGGGAAGGGGCTTATGGAAATTTAACAATTCTTTACTTGGTGATAAGCAATACCTAGATTGTATCAGAGATGTTATTTCAAATGTGAAAAAGCAATATGCACTTCCTGTGTATGACCTTGATAATCTTGATACTATTCTAGATGAAAATCTATATTTTACCATTGATGATCAGTTATTTCTAGAAACTCTACTTATGGAAATAAGAGGGAAAAGTATTTCATACTCTGCATATATAAAAAAGAAACAAATCAATGAAGAAAAAGAATTATTAGAAGAAATTAAGGTATTAGAAGAAAATATTTCTGAGCACAATGTAGAGGAACTAAATGGAAAAAAAGCAAAAATTGGAAAAACTTTGAAAATACAAACTTCAAGGAATGTATATAAGAAGTAGAGAAAAATGGGTGGAAGAAGGGGAGAAACCATCTCATTATTTTTTTGGTTTAGAATCAAGAAATTTTACTAGTAAAATAATTCCCAAACTTGTTAAAGACAATGGGCAGATAACTCAAGACCAGTTTGAAATTTTGGATGAAACAAAGCAATTTTATGAAAACGTATACTCTACACCTAACAATGAGTGAAATGAATATGACCTAAATTTTGAGCTAAATTTTAAAGATATTCCCAAGTTATCTTTAGATGAACGTGTGTCTTTAGAAGGTAAAATTACATTACAGGAAGCTTCTAAAACACTTAGCCAAATGAAGGCAAATAGAATTTTTTAAGGTCTTTTGGCGATATCTTGGAATTTTTGTTATCAGGTCAATTAATTATGCTTATGAAAATGATAGTCTGTCAATCACACAGAGACATGGAATTATTACCCTTTTACCGAAAGGAGAAAAACGAAGACAATATATTAAAAACTGGCGCCCAATTACACTTTTAAATACTGTATATAAAATAGCCTCTGGTACCAATAGATTAAAGACTTATTTGAATAAACTTATCAATCCTGATCAAACTGGTTTTATTTCTAACAGGTATATAGGGGAAAACACTCGGCTAATTTATGATATAATGCAGTATACTGAAGAGGAAGAAATTCCTGGTCTTCTACTACTTATTGATTTTGAAAAAGCCTTTGATACCGTTTCATGGAATTTTATACAAAAGACATTAACTTATTTCAAGTTTGGACCTGACATTCACAAATGGGTAAAATTATTTTATCATAACATTACTTCAGCTATTAATCAAGGTGGCAATCTCTCAGCATCCTTCAATATCCATAGAGGCTGTAGACAAGGTGATCCCTTATCACCGTATATTTTTCTACTTTGTGCAGAAATTCTAGCTATAAAAATGAAAGAAAATAAAAGGATTAAAGGAATTACTGTATGTAATAATGAAAAGAAAATTTCACAACTAGCTGATGATACCTCAATTATCCTTGATGGTAGCAAGGAATCACTTTCAGAAACAATTAAAGTATTACAACATTTCTCTGAAATGTCTGGACTAATAGTTAATTTTTCGAAAACTAATACCGTATGGATTGGATCTAAAAAATATAGTCAAGATATCCTTTCTAAAGATTTTAATCTGAAGTGGGGGACTAACAAATTCACATTACTTGGAATTAATTTTGACGTAGAACTTCAAAATATGTCCAAACTGAATTATCAGCCGAAGTTAAGTAGAATAAAATCAATCTTGCATCAATGGGAGAAAAGACACTTAACACCAATAGGAAAAATTACTGTTATCAAAACTTTGGTTTTGCCTCTCTTAAATCATATTTTTATGGCAATTCCAAATCCAGATGACAACTTTTATAAAGAACTGGATAAACTGTTCTTTTCCTTCTTGTGGAACCACTCTCAACATAGAATAAGAAAGGATGTAATTGTTAAAAAATATGAAGATAGGGGATTAAAGATGATAAATATAAAGGCTTTTATATCTTCTTCAAAATTATTTTGGATGAGAAAACTCTTATTGTCAAATAGAGGTCTGCATGATTTTATACCAAATCTAGATCTAAACAAAGTTACAACGTGCGGAATTGAATATATCAAAAATATAAAGAAAATTCTGGATTGATGTTTTTGATTCATGGATTGAGCTACATCATAAACAAAACCCAACTATAGTAACAGCAAACACTCCACTATTTTACAATCCCGACATTCTTGTGGGAGGAAAAATATTTTTTAATAAATCCATGTATCGCTCTAATATTAGATACCTTAATGATCTTATTAATGAAAAAGGTTTGTTCCTGACTTATGAATCTGTTTGTGATATTTATCCTCAAGTGAAAATTAATTTTTTAGAATACATGAGTATTATAAGTGCTCTTAAGGCATGGATGAAAAAAGTTAATTTTAAAGAAAACGTTACTAAATCACAAAACCCCCTGGTTATGTCAAATATACATATCCTTCTAGAATGCAAAAAATCAAGGCAATTTTATAATCTTCTCAATCACAATAGTACAGAACCTACTGGTAAAAGAAAGTGGAATGAAACATTTGAATTGAATGACAAAGAATGGAAAATGATTTTTAAATTGCCCTTCAAAGTTACAAATAATTGTAAACTGCAATGGTTTCAGTATCGAATTTTGAACAGAATTTTAGCTTCAAACTCATATTTATTTAAAATAAAAATCACAGAAAATAAGAATTGTACATTCTGTCAGGTGGAAGAAGAGAAAATTGAACATTTGCTTTGGGAGTGTGATAGTGTACAACATTTTTTAAGAGAATTTGAAGATTACTTTGAAAATAAAACTAATCTTCAAATACCAATAACAAAAAATAATTTTATTTTGGGGTTCTTGGATGAAAAGAAAAAGATACCAAATAATCTTTTTCTATGGCTTAAATATTATATCTACACAATGAGGTGCACAGGGAAGACACTTAATGTAACTACTGCGATATCGCTTATGAATACATTTTATGAAACACAAAAATATATTGCTTATAATAAAGGTGAAAAGGATATGTTTGACACCTGCTGGAACTGTTGGAATCAATTATTTCAATGACTCTTACAAATATATATGTGTTTATATTTTATGAATGCATGCAACCCTTTTTTCTCCTCTTCCAACTCTTTCTCTCTCTCTCTCTCTCTCTCTCTCTCTCTCTCTCTCTCTCTCTAAAATAAAAAAAACTACACCTTCTGTATATTCTTTTAAATATATGTTTAACTTGTATGAAATAGCAGAATGTGTAAAACAAAAATAAAGAATTATAAAAAAAAAAAAAAAAAAAAAAAAAGAAGAAGATTTTTTACATATCAAAAAAAAATTTGATATTCCAAGGATTTTTTCAAATAAAACTAATAATTCTACAACAAATCAATAAATATCTACCTTAAAAGACAAACATTAGTGCAGGAATTTGATTATAATGAATTAAAGCAAATGCACTATTTCTCGTGTTTTATCGATAAACTATACAGAGGTGGATGTATGAGCCGATTGCAGAGAGTGAAACGATTCATTTACTTTTTGATTGTACACGAGAATTCTTCATTTTTCACATAAAAACTTATCACATGTCGTTATCACTTAAGTGAATTAAAAGAAAAGTTTATAGGCGATGAAGTATACAGATAAAAGAATCGTCGTCCACATCGACATCACGGTCTTCAGACTCGAGGATGCGTCGCTGGCGCGTTGTGGTCCGTTACATAGATCTGTGGCACATAATGATAGGCAGGCAAAAAATTTCCCTTCCACGTATGAGCAGGTAGTCGAATTTTTCTCTTCTTCTAAGTTCCAAAATCGGCTGGCGTTAATCGAATAATTCATACCATCAGAGCAATCCCGAATGTAAGCCACTATAACTCCTGTGATGAAAAACAGATGTTCATACAGATATTAACTCTTAAATATCATTAATTATTTGGAACTGATTTTCACACTGTTATACATTTAATCTATGGTGTGTAAAAATTTTCAATATAGCAAATAAAAAAATACTATTCACTTTTACCAGAGTACATTTGTATATCACATCAAGATCAACTTAATTTAATAGTGAAATACTTACATTAACCTGATTACATTTTTATACTTTGTCGTTCTTCTTCGTGCTTTTGTATAAAGAAGAAGATAATGAATTGTTACATTAATTGTAAAAATATACATGTACCGTTGACTTCAACCCTTTCAATCATGCATGCGTCTTCAGAGGATGAACAATTTTTTCGGTATTTGAAATCTGCATCTGTGTAATTTTTAGTGATGTCGCTGTGTTTTATGTTATCCTTCACCATCTCCTCCAAGTCCTCCTGACAAACTCCATTACTTTTGCCGTCGCCACATTGATAGCAATATAAAGCACCTATTAAATATGCATAAAAAACATACACGTATATGTATTTAAAAGTAAACAGTGCATTTTGAAAAGAATTTACTTGTATGCAGATGCAGTTTTCTTTTTGAAATAATTAAAGACCTCGTTAATTAACCGATGTTAATTATCCGATAATTGAGATTTGTTTAAGCTTTATGACAGGTAAAGAAACTTTAAGTAAAAAAAAAAATCCTTCTCATGAAAAAAGATCTTATAGAAAATCTATTAAATCCTGAGTTGTATACTAAATTTAAGAATTGTATTTTTTTTTTAAAGAAACAGTTTGTATACAAAACACTCCAGATGCCTCCAGACAGGTAGGAGATCTTAAAATAATTTATGACACCTTAGTTATTTGGTGACAGTACAGATTGAATGTGTACCAGGCATATTAAATTTTGTGCAAATAGATATAATCTTCTGTACAAAAGCCACATAGGCTCATTTCTGACTTGATATAACGAGTTCGAATCTCGATATAACGATCGAGTGCATTACCTTGTAATCACGAGTTAGTTTTCTCGTTAGAAGGAGATAGTTATAATTATCTCAAAATGAGTTAGTTATCTCGTTGTAACAAAGAAAAAAACTATATAAAACGTATAAACAAACTAATTCTTAAAGTGTATATATAAACTTAAGGATTCCCAATATGCATCTGTTCCTAGAAGTATGACTAGCAAATATTTTCAGTCAAATAAAAGTAATGTAGTAGTGTGGACTAAAACTGTGTACTAAAAAAAGTTGGACCCCCCTCCCCCCCCCCCCACCCCCACCCCACACTAACACACCAAATATGGTTGTCAAGTTTGGACAATTTTTTCCCTTTTTTTCATGGAAGGTTGAATTTTTTCCTCCGGCTGCCCCTATCAAAAACAATGCTACATCCCTGGGTATTAAATATAATTCTTTTCTCGGGTAAAAAATTCTGATGAGTAGATTTTCAAAAAGGAATACTGATGAGAAATATTTTCAATTTGATATTTTGAATTTCAAGATATTTAAAATTCGTTATTTAATAAAGGATGTAATTTTCTATATATATTTTTAACCTCTGCCGGACAGAAATTAAATTCAGCTCCTTATATAAGTAAATTCATTATATAAGAGTTCGTTATTACCATAACATTTTACAAGGTTTTGTAAAGAATTTTACCGGGAATCCGTGAATTCGCTACCGGTATATCCCTGTTCGTGCTAAACGAGTTTTACTGTATTCTGATTTAAACATACAAAAGTGTAAAAAAGACTTTTGCAACTGGTTAATAGATTGTTTTTGTGGATAATTGAAGAAATGGAAATAAACCACGTGACTCGCAATCAAAATGGATGGTTTTACAAATCCGTTGTTACAAAGGAAATCAGTTCTGAGGCTGTGGAGGCGTCATAGGTTAATTTTAAGACAGTTAAATCCAGACAGATTTTGATTTAAAAACCATCAGAACATATCATTAAACCTTTCTAACCAGTTTAAGAGATCTTACATGAGTACGTCTTATATTGATATTAAACTTCGGAAGACCTTTATTAAATTCTATGAGATAAAAAGAAGTTTTTAGAATGTTTTCGGGAGTTATCAGAGGTTATCAATCCTTGCTATAAGTTATCCTGGTAAACACGAGGGTGGACGTTTATATGGTCAACCTTCACAGTTTACGACCTAAGATGTTTGCTCTTGTAAGTCTTGTACATAATTACATACAAGTGACATCAAAGAAAATCTTGTTTCGATCCTTTAACTTTTCAGCTTTTAAATCAACGTTATAGAATACCAGAAATGTCTATAAACTAACTCTGAAGTTTATTTTACACAAATTTTTAATTTCAGATATGAAATACCAATACGTGTATACATGTAGAACATAAATAAAAAAAAGTACTAGAAATACTATAGTCAATCAACTTTTCTAATCTGAGTACATAAGAATTTGATATTTTGTTTATCAGTGGGAAAGAGAGGGAGGGAGGGAGGGAGGGACGGAGAGAGATTTGGGGGAAACACTTTTCAAGTTTTACTAACATATTTGCAATTGGTAATGTAAATAACTACTTCTATGATTTTTATTTGATTCATTGCTTTTTTTTCTCTGCATTACTCATGAATTTTGGATTATAAAAATGTGTTGGACACTGGCTAATCGTTAATATATTACATTATCACAAACGTAAATTAAAAATAAAAAAACTTACCAGAGAAATGGATTAAGTAAAATATCCCTAGAACAGTCCGTATGTAGTTCCTCATTGTTGATCTTCCTCAATGCACTAAAAGTATGAAGTTAAACGCTGATTAAATAAGTCATAAAACTACCCGGATAATACAACACCAGTGAATTATAACAGGCAAATAAAAGATAAGCCTTGTATCCTACCGTTTTACAAGATCGATCAGTTTCTTAAAAATATTTTTTGCACATTTTTTTTAATGAAAGTGTGCACTAAGGAGAAAAAATTTCAAACACATAATTTTAGCACAGTTGTAAATAAAATGTAATCAAACGTGATGACTTCATTTTTCTATTGGTCAACTACGTTTATTACCTTCATGAGGGGTTTGTTTCTCCCAGTTGAATCCACACGCAAGAGCATGTTCTCCTTATGAACAATTTCTTTAACGAGACAGTCTACTGATAAATAATTTGATAATACGAGGGTGCAATTATTGTTTAAAGTACACATTTTGCAAATTCAAATCTGTTGTCAATGCAATAGCTTTGTTTGCAAATACAATATACAATCCGTCATTAGGTTGCATGTTGACTGTTGTTTTTCATACAAATTAATACGCCATTATTTTCATATTAAAGACTACCTATTTCTTCGTTTACCTGATCATGACTTATTTTCATTATTTAAGTATTTCATATATGTTTTTAAAGAAAAACTGGGAAAATCAACCAGAAGGAAGGCCGACGGGTGGTTGAAGTTTCATTACTGATGTGACATCTATTCTGAGGATGCATCTAAAGGATTGTTTCCCACCTTTTGAAGAATTATTACCAGGCAAAAAAAACCTTCCAATAATCACTGGTCTTATGACTTCAGTTCTTTACAGTAAAAAAAAAAAATATTTAAAATTAAAAATATCACCTCTCTCAAACACTTAATTGCAGCACAAGATTGCTAGGAAAATGGCTTGTTTTATAGTCCCTGTTTTCAACATTTGAAATTGCCAGTAGAAAGTAATGGGTATCATAATATTGAAACATTATTATTAGAACAAACTAAAGGTCAAATTAAGGAAGCAGGGGATTTGTTTTGAGGGCGGGGCTATGTTGATCATACAGTTAAAATGTAAAAATTCTTAAATTCTTTAAACATTTCCTTTCTGCCCCTGGGTTTTTAGCAAACAAAGTAGATGCATGGTTAGGATGAACAAGGATGCCTCTTCCAAAATTGTGAAATTTATGGCACCAGGGTCAGATGTTCTGGTCTTGGGGGGAGGGGGGGGGTTATATTGACAATAAAATAAAAATGCCTTATTTCTTTGAAAATGTTCTCTGTTCTGAGTTTTAGCAAACAAAGTAAGCAAATGGTTATGTTGAGCAAATATGCCTCACCCAAAATTGCGAAATTCATGGCCCCATGGTCAGGGGTTCTGGTCTTATAGGAGGTCGGGAGATCTATTATAAAGTGAAAATGCATTATTTCTTTGAAAATTTTCTTCTCTGCTCTGGGTATTAAACAGAAAAACTAAGTGCATTATTATGATGAACAAGGATGCCTCTTCCTAAATTGTGAAATTTATGGCCCTTGGGTCAGGAGGTCTGGTGTTACATGTAGGGCTTTTGGTGTTAAATGCGAGGCTGCATTGATTATATAGTAAAAAGACATAAATTCTTTAAAAACCTTTTTCTCTGCCCCTGGCTATTAAACCATCATAGTGCATGATAATGATGAGCAAGGATGGCTCTTCTAAATAGTGAAATTCATGGCCTGTGGGTCAAGAGTTTTGATGATATGATGAAAATGCATATATTCTTTAAAAATCTCTTTCCCTGCCCCTGGTACTCAGCAAATAAAAAGCATGGTTAAGCAGGGATGTCTCTTCTAAAATTGTGAAATTCATGACCCCAGAGTCAGGCGCTCTGGTCAGGAGGGGGGGGGGGGCTGTATTGATAATGATAATAAACCCTCACTCCTCAATGGCCCTGAGTGCCGAGCAAAGGTCTAAATTTGAAGCCCTTCACCAGTATATGGTGACGTCTCTATATAGCCTAAGTGAAAAATTATCGAACTGGACGTAAAATAACATTCAATCAATCAATCAATCAATCTTCTTTACTCCTGGGTATTTAGCAGATAAACTAAGGGCATGGTTATGATAAGCACGGATGTCTCTTTCAAAATTGTAAAATTAATGGTCCCAGGGTCAGGGGTTTTGTGTTAATATAGTGGAAATGCATAAATTCTTCGAAAATCGTAGTTGTAATGGGCAAGTTTGTTTTTATCAGATTTGTGAAATTTTTGGATCAAGTGTTCTGGTGCTGGGCAGGGCTCTATTGATACAATTTTGTACTCTACTGAGAGAAGGTATTCCCTTTAATTTACTATTTACTTATGATAATTAATTACTGTAAATAAATAACGTAATTGATAGGTCAAATCGAATAAAGAATTAAAAAGAATTTTTAATGTATAATACAAAAAAAAAAAAAAAAAAAAAAAAAACAACTTTCAACTGTAATGGTCATGTAGACTTATAATAGATATATAAAAATGGGGAAATAGAGGATATTCATTGGGACAGGATTTTTTGATATTTTCACGAATGCGAAGCACGAGTGAAAATATCAAAAAATCCTGTCTCACGAGTGAAATAAATTCCATATTCATCTACAAAACATTGAATTTTCTGTTTATTACATTTTCTTTGATTTTGACTTTGCCTCTGTCTTTTCTTAACACAGTGCCATAGGCTTGACGTCATAGTTGAGCGGTTGAGACGTCATAGCTTAGCAGTTGTGTGATTGAAAACATTACATAGCATGGATTTTAGCAACATATTTGGGAAGAAATTTGCAGTTTTAGCTCTATCAAGATGCTTAGTTACTATTTCTACCTTATGACAGGCCAGAAATTATTTTTTACTTACTTTGATATCCTTTCACACTGTGAGAGAATATCATTTTGGTATCCTTTCACACTGTGAAAGAATATCACTTTTATTCAATAAATAAATCACAGTATTTCACTGTTGAAAATGTAATAAAATACATTATTTTCACACATTGCATACTCTTCAAAGACCAAGAGAGGTCAATGTGTGATGGAATGTGTAGGGTTTACTACATGTTATCAATCACTTTGAATTGTTTAGTCTGCATGATGAAAGTGATAGAAGGGAGTGTATAAGTACTGGCAAGTAAAAAAAATCTACTTTAAAATTTTTTACTGAGAACTAGATATTTTATTGATTCCTGATATCCTTTTTTTTCTTGCTTTGGGGCAATATATCTTCATTTCTCGGGGTTTTTTTTAATTTTATACTTCAGTGGATCCTTTACAGTATTGTGTTATACTCAGGTGACAGAAAAGTCCCTTGGGTCTCTTGTATTTCTACCTCATGTTGTTTTTGTTATGTTTTTAAGTTGTACTGATGTGCAATATACTAAGATGCAATAAATTCTAAAGGTTGATTATGATGTGGTCTTTCAAACTAAAATGTATAACTGGTGGTTTTATCAAGCTTTTCTGCTTATTTGATGAATTTTAGAGAATTTTTTGACCTCCAACTAACCCCCACCATCTTACTCAACGATATTCCTCAAAGTCACTTTTTTGCATACTACCAAGAACCTTATATTTCCTTACAAACTTTGTTCATCCGTCGACAATATTTTGACTGTATTCCATTGGATACCTGATTATCATACGTGTTCTTTGTCCATCCCCTGACAATGTTTGTTGACCATTTGTTCCATTGGATACCTGATTATCCCCTGTTTGAGATCTGTTGCCAAGCAGTTCTGGAGAGGATTTTATATGTATAAATGATTTCTATGGTGGCATATTTCTGTCCCATATGTGCAAGTTATTTTTCTGTCAAATATGTCGACATGCAAGGTAAATATGTTGACATGCAAGATAGTTATGTCAACATGCAACATAACTATGTTGACATGCAAGAAAATTGCAATCAAGTAAGAATTATAAAAAATCTTTTAAAAATCTCAAATATCGCCACATGTGACTTCCAATTAATATGCTAGATGCTACTTATTTATATCGACATGCAAGTTAATTATTTTGACATGCGAAATAAATATGTTGGCATAGAAGTTATTTATGTCAACATGCTTCTTAGGTATGTTAACATGCTACTTATTTATGTCAACATGCAACTTAGTTATGTCGACATGCAATTTGTTTATGTCGACATGCAACTTAGTTATGTTGACATGCGAGATAAATATGTTGACATGCAACTTAGTTATGTTGAGTAGCGAATATATATATAATTTTAAAAAAGTAAATATCCAAAAATGAAATCACAAATCGATGTAAATGTCTGAAGACACAGGAATGGCGAAAAAGTTTACAGTGAATATGACCGATTTGTGATTTCATTTTGGATATATACTTTTTTAAATATGATCGATTTTCAAAATGATAAGATTTTGAATTATACACAATTTGAACATTTGTGCGAGCGTGCAGATTCGTTACTACCCAAGACACGTGCAATGAGGCAATGAGGTTCTGTTTCTTTTGTCGATAAAATTGAAGTTGATTTTAATGATCGAAAATTTATTCAAGCAAATGTTGCAGTTTAAATTATTTTCTATAATATGAGATGGACAACAAAGTATAAATTGAATTTCCTTTGATAAAATGTCCTAGCGATTCAGAAACGTGACCGTAGATTATAAGAGTATCTTGCATGTCAACATAACCAAGTTGTTATGTTGACATAAATAAGTTGCATATCAACATATTTATCTTGCATGTCAACATAAATAAAATGCATGTTGACATAAATAAGTAGCATCTAGCATGTTGAATGTCACATGTGGGCGATATTTGAGATTTTTGAAGATTTTTTATAATTTTTATTTGATTGCAATTTTCTTGCATGTCAACATAGTTATGTTGCATGTTGACATAACTATCTTGCATGTCAACATATTTATCTTGCATGTCGACATATTTGATAGAAAAATAACTTGCACATATGGGACAGAAATATGCCACCATAGATTTCTTTTCCAAACTAATAAAACCTTTTTTACGATCCCGCTCCTTTAGTGTATCTGTGTTTCTTAGTAAATTTGAAATCATTTTATGCGTGCATAT